TCGGCTAAAAAAACGCGCGAAAACGCGGCGAGAAGATCCTTCAGTCGAATAATCATCGACTAGCTCGAGGTGTATGGCTCTAGTACGAGACACACAGAGCGATGTAAGGCTTAGTACCCTTTTAACCTCGACCGACGAATTGGACGAGATTCATGGGGTCGGCGTAGCCGACTCCGAGTGAGAGAAAGAGTAGTTAACTCTCGCTGTTGGCAGTTCTCCCATGATTTGCGTGGTTGGATTTTTACAGTTCGAGCACATATTACTCTACAATGTATGTGTCGTTTGAATGAAATTTCGGGCTGACAGTATCCAATACTTCTATTGCAACAACCTTAGGGTTAATTGAGTTCCACCGTGAAGCGCACGGCAATGCGCGTGACTCACGAGCAATTCGGTAATTCGATGTCGCGGTAAGATAATGGGGTGTCGTTCCTCAAACTGAGAGCGGACTTCTCGAGCCACCCGCCCTAGGCGTATCAATTGGTCATCTCCAAGAAGGGATTCAAGAATCGAAGCACACTTAACTTAGGTTGAGCGATCTTCGTTTAAAGGACTCTCCACTCGGAGGAAAAGTGCGACTGCTGAAGGAGCGGGAGGCACAGTCCGCCGGGTTATCATTTGATCGAACGTGATTCTATCAAATCGTCGAAAATCCTGTCTGGACTTCGGAAACTCTATTTGCCACGTAGCAATTCCATTTACTCGGATGTTGTTTGAGCCACACCAGTGCAATCGTTGAATCGGTCCATATTGAGGAATCGAATTTTGGTTCAGAGATCGTTTCGCCCAGTCCATCAATCGACTTAGCAGGACGACAGCATTGAGTTTAAGTCGAGGAATGCTCACAGTTTTAAACGGAGCTACCTTTGTTTTAGCTGCGATTATGCTCACCTAAAACCTAGACAGATAGTGTATGAGTTGGAGGTAAACGACGGCGGCATAAGCTCTCGTAGAAACGTCAGAAAAGCCGTGACGCTCGAACCTCAAGACGTCGCAATTCGCTCCGCTCTGTCGGGAAACGCGTATGTCGCCTAATCTGAAAAGATTGAAGCAATATTCCGTCCACTGAGTTTGCAAGTCTTCGGGAATTCCGCTGTCCCAGTCTGAATTGCGCAGCCAAAGTTCTTGCATAAAGACCTTAGCTGATACGATCACGGGAGACGCCCAACCAAGAGGATCATATAACTTCGCGATAAACGACAATTCTGAACGTTTGGTGTGCGCGATCGGCACATTAGGGACGGTCAAGAAGCGAAACGAGTTCTCCCGAGGCAACCAGGATAAACCGAGTACTTTCAGCGTATCATCCCTGTCTATCGCATGATCAATTAACTCGCGTTGTTTGACTGGAATATCCTCTAAAAGTTCCGAGCAGTTGGCCGTCCATTTTTGGAGAGGAAAGCCTCCTTGACTTAATAAAGCGACTAGTTGTTCTCGGGTGTCGAGGAGCTTTTGAAGATTATCCACGCCGAAGAGAATGTCGTTAACATAGATCGAGCTCTCGCAAATCAAGCGAGCGGTGGGTAGATCACGACCTTCGTCTTGTGCCAATTGCTTGAGTACACGCATAGCCATGTAAGGGGCTGGCGATAACTCGTACGTGACG